AACAAGAAAGTCGGATATAAGATGAAGTTTTTTTACATTTATCATAAATACCAACGTTGTATATTGGAATGGTATATCACTATCTTATTTGATCTCACACGTTCCATTTCTTGATGTCACTATGTGTAGACGATGTTGTCTCGTTGATAAGCCAATCAATCATCGAATCTGACATCATTAAAACTAAGTCAATCATTGATCCTAGATCAATCCTGTGCAGATCAGCAAATATGATACTTGTGTCAATGTAGTAAGGGAGAGAAATAAAGCGATAAAACATAAGAACATCTGGTCGTCCATTTCTTCGTCTTTTTTTGGTTATATAGTTCAAATGCATGATTGCATATCCATATATATATATATATGTATATATATACATGTATGAGTACATCTTACCCGTGAAAACTGTACTGAAGATAGAGATAGTGACGGTATCAAAGCATCATCTATAAATAGAGAGGAAAAAAGACCATCAAATGATGAGAACGAGACATCGATAAGGTAAATATTGTTTTCTTCTTTCTTTCTCTCTGACATGCACAACCTATCGTCATCGTCATCGTCATCGTCTTTGATAATTCACCCATTGGGAACAACATAATGCATCTAGTCCAAGAATCTCCTTATGTATATGACGCTATATAATGAATGCGTATCGGATATGAATATGCGTATATAAACATATGGTATATCAAGAAAGAAAAAGGGCGAGTTATATGATAGAATAGAGCTTTGCCAAAGGTGAATAGCTAACTGATTGATCCTCGAAACATAAACAGAACAAGAAAACAAGTCGAAGTAATCAAATCAAGTGAGCTTCTCAGGCAACTTGTAGAATTTTAATCGGAAAAAGGAAATCGACAGACGGACGCTTAGAGACACACATACATCTTGCATAAAGTAAAACGAGAAGGAAAAAAACGGTGAAAAGCGAATGTTGATTTTGTGCTATATTTGGCTGTGCACGAGCGATGTTTTCCCAAAATCAACATCAAAAAGAAAGTATGGAAGCGAACATTCTGTGTTTTTTTTATCATTGGTAATGACTTACAAAGACTGATAGACGGGACAAGATCAGCATGGTTAGTCAAGAATAAGAATATGATTGATCGATTTGGTTTTAGTACAGACAAATATAAGACTATATTCTTTGGGGCAAGCAAATATAATCGAAGAAGAAAGATTGGCATCTACATCAGTAACATGAACAAACAAATAAGATTTCTAGACAAGTAATAATTGAATTCTAAACAAGGCATAATCTTAATCTAAGCGATATGATTGTCAGTCACATTGTTCTCGTGGCTATATTTCTTTTGCTGAGATAGATAGAGAAAGAAGAAGATAATAAAAGAAAGGGCAAACAGATCGTATTGTTATTTGTCGACATATAGCGCTGATTATTCAGTGAAGCCCATAGTCATGATCTATAGAAAAATATGAATAATATTATGAGATGAAGAATTGCATTAGATTCGACCGAAACAACAATACCGACACAGATCACTTAAATGACACTAACAATAATTTTAGTTCTTTTATTGTTTATCACGATGATTTTTCAATTCCTCAATTATGTACTTTTCGAGTGTTAAAAATTAATATATTAGATAAACCATTAAAAAGTATAAATTAATATTTGCACAATAACAAAAGATACAAGAAACTTAAAAAGAGAATTTTGGTATTTCTTTCTTTTGTTTAGCTATGTTGATAGTGTTGATCAAGATCTTTCTCTTTCTATCGACTTCTTTACAACAGTTTGATTACACTAACAATCGATTTCTTTCTTTCATCTCTTCTTTTAATTCAAGATTTCATCCTCGATTGGACATTCTCCATAAATTCCACTTACCCCTTCGCATTATTTATGCACAAATGCCTCCAGACACACACAAACATCAGGTTAAGCGTTACGTAGGATGTTAAAGCTCAAGAAAACTGAGAAAAAAAAATCAAAACAAAGATTAGAAAAGAAGACAGGAAATTAAATAAATGGATGAATTTATATTGTGCCTAGATAGGATTAAATTTAACATCAGCAAGATGATGCATTCCATCAATATATGCGTTCTAATATCCTGTTCGTTAACTATATATAAATAAATAAATATAGAAAGACAGAAAAAAAGATCCTAAAGTACTGGAAAATTATCATTGTGAGATTCTATTCAACTGACTGCACTGTTTGCAAAATATCTAAATAGTAACCTTGTACTCAATATTCTTGAAAATAGAACACTCAATCAAGCATTTTTAATATACTAATAATAAAATATTCGATATTTTGAACCACTGATTTCTACTAGGATTGACCTGCTTTCATCAATTAGTGTCAAAAACTAAAGAAGAAACCTATCATATTATCTGCATCAAATCTCTAGTGAGTATTTGAAAGAAAAAAAAGAACTGAATCGATCAGATCATCATTTCTTTGATCTACTCGTTTTGTACCTATTTAATAAAAATCAATGTGCCGATAACATAGTTTTCTGAAGTACACTTCACGTTCTCTTTTGCCAATATAAACCAATAAAAAAGAACAACTAACCTAGAACAAGAACAACGCAATCATGATTTGGTCAACTCAATAAGGATATATATTTATCTTTGAATTCATTGGATTATCTTGATGATCATCTTTCATTTTTTGTTGTTGTGTTCAATAAAATGATTTCTATCATGAAAGAAAATTCATATACCATATAAATTAAATGTCACTTTACATTTCCTCTATGATCACTATTAACAATTGCAGAGGCTATTCATTTACTTACCCTTATTTTTGTTTCTTATTTAACAATAGTTAGTTTTTATAAAACATCCGATTACATTTAGTCTGCTCTCTTTCAGCAAATAGTCAACGAAACAAAACAACAATGAAATAGAAATAAGAATTGATTCACATGATTTTATTCACAAAAAACAACATCATTTATGATAGTTATATATGAAGAGGAAAAAGCTGATTTTTTCCATCGTCTCCTCAGTTAATAACCCTCGCTTATACTATATCATGTTTGACGAAGTCGTAAACCAAAAATAATGAATTGTAAAATCGTTAATATGAAACTCTATAATAAATAGAAGCTACGAATATCAATCATTAAATTAAGAAATAAAATTATTACAAACAATATTCATGAATATAAATTTGTTCTATTTTTAAAAAATTCATCTCAATCAAAATATTTGATTGATTACATTCAATAATAATATGCTGACATTATATCAGCAGAACGTACTTTTATCTTATTCGGTCGAAAAGTCAAAAGTAAATGAAAGACAACGCGAGATACAGAAAGAAAACACGAGAATAAATTTCAATGTTGTTCGTTGTTGACTTTGATAACGATCATAAAAGCTCGAAAAAAATGAGAACTTTTTGACGATATAAATATATTAAAAAGGTCTGCAATCAGCTTGTACCGTAGATATTTTTGTACCTATAGTATTTTCAAGGTATCATGAAATATGATTTACAATAAAACTTGATTGAAAACAACAAAATTTTTCTCTTCAAAAGAAAAAATGACGCTTGTTTTTGTATTAACCAGCGATATAATTATTACACTATTGATGCTATCAAACAATTATGATAGTTTTTCAACTTATCATGATCGTTATTTTGTGATCCTGGATAGGAGATTTATATATCAAACGCGATTTTTTTGACAACTATTTTTTAAATGATTTTACTATTTATTCTTCTAGCCTCATAACGTCTCTTCCTTCTATATTGAATATGAGAGAACAAAATTTTTGGTTTGCAAATACAGACAATGACAAAATTCGTAGTTGATTGTAACCATCTCAGAAAAAAAAATAGTTTTAACAATATCAGCAAGTTGAGGGTAATAGGTTTCTCGATTATTTTTGAAAAGATGCTTCTCTATCATTTTATAATAAAGTACTCCAAAGATAATAATGAATGAAAATGATGACACTTTGTCACTTGAAAATGAGAAATACAAAAAAAAAATTTACAATGAAATAGAATTAATAATTTTATAAAACATAATATTGATAATATATTCTTTATTCATAAATGACATATGAATAGTCTGAATAAATACATGAAGGTGCATCTCAAATTTTACGACAAAATATACAACGTAATAGCAAGTGAATTTAAAGCGAACGTCAATTCGATTTGATTTTTTCAACAATACAATAGAATAGTTAAACAAAATATACGTCGTCTCCTAGGCAAATAGATGAATTATTTACCCATTATTTCCAACAAAGCTCAATATTTTATGACATTGTAGTTTAAGCCTCATTCATTAATTCTAATATGATTATATATCACTATAAAATCATGTACATATTATTGAACATTTTTCTTTTCAACTAGATTTGAAAATGTACATTCTTATGGTATTGATGTTGATGAAAACTAGTGGTTTGCATAATAGAATCATATAAGAATAAAAAGTATTTGATTTGTTTGGTAATACATTTGATCAAAGAGAGGTAGTCGCAAGCTTATTCACATCATTTTTGTTGATATTTTGGAACGTATAGAAAGAATAGAGAAAAAGTCTTAGAGAATATCGACTAATATGACTTCTTTTGATAATTATAAATATGTTCATTTGTCTTAAAATCATAATTTATCTTCAATTAAAACTCAATAATTCATGAGTTCTCAAAGCAAAATCTGTATCTCATTTGAAAAATTCCGTTCTTTTCATATCTGTAAATGTCTTATGACGTCATTGAATATCTTGTACAACAATCACAGTATTATCGTCACTTTGATGGATATTTATCTTTTTTTTTTGCTTCCTAACTGGAAAAAAAGCAATCTTTTACTCTTTCGAAGTATTAAACCTTCATGGTCGATAGACAACTCAACTGATAGTGAAAAAGAGATTTAACTCTCAAAATCCAGAAACATCGATCTAACTTCTCTTGCATTTTTTTCTGAAAATGAGATGACTACATGTAGAAAAAAATCTCTCATAAAATATTTTTTTTACAAAAATTTTTGTTAATTAAAAAACTCTTTTCGTATCTTCTCTCACACAAATCATGCGTACATTTGATGGTAAATATGTTTTATTAGTTGCTTGTCGAGCTTGACGTGCATATATAATTCGTTCTTCATCATCATTATCGACTACCCCTTCGTCATCATCATCATCGTCATCATAATCTATGACTGATTTTCTAGTTGTAACATATCTTATATGTTGTTCTTGAAGTTTTCTTGTTTGCTTTACTGGTATTGTTCGTAAGGGTGGTGATTCAATATTCCAAATTTCATAAATTTTCTGTGGTTGTTCAATTGATTGTAGTTTTTTTTGTCGACGATATCGAGGACTTCTATCATCATTATCATTTAAATCATTAACTGCAATTCGTTGTCGATGAGTTTTTGTTTGTACAGCCATATCATGATAAACAGTTGACTTTAAAAGTGAACATTGAACTTCAGCATTTCGTTTTGATAATTTTCGAGGTGGTATAAATACAGGTTCAATCGGTTTTTCGTGTATTAATGGGACTAAAACACAAATCAATGATTCAAATAGAAGAAAAAATAAATAATAACCTGGATTAGCATTTAAATTAGTTGGTTGTAGACCGGTTGGTGTTAGATTTCCATTTAATAATTGTCTTTGTTCAATTGGAACAAACGCTGTCTTTACATTTTGAAATGGTTCACGAAGACTAAACATGCCTGTACGACAATTGGGATATTGAATATTGAATAAAGATGGTGGAAGACGAGAAGTTTCAGCGTCATTTACTAGTGTTGTTGTTGTCATGATGTGAAGAAAAAAAACAAGAAAAATGTCAATTATATCGATAGAATAAAATCCTGCTGAGTTGAAAATAATTTTACATGATTTTCATTTTTTTTTCTTTACTTTATAAAACGGTCTGAGCGCGAACGCAGAGACACTGCTAACAAATTAACCTCTCTCTTCGCCCCGATGTGGAGTGAAAGCAGGATTTAGTTTACAGCTTAGTGCAATGCCGAAACCTCGTCCTGGATGCTCAGTATTGATGATCACTGAGGCAATCAGAGGAAAGTAAGTATGAGTCTATTCATTTCGATTCACTTCGTTTATATACATCGCCACACGGCAAAATACGGCGATGAGTGAATGAGAGACATATGAGAGAAAGAATAAATTTTTGATGACTCATTCTTTTAAAGCGAATATGACTCATTCGTTGTAAATGAATGAATACAAAAAAGCTTTCTTTTATTCGTGTATTTAAATAGATGAGAGAAGAAAAATTCAAGAATGGTTTAACAAAGTTTTTTAAATAATTTGATTAGTATTGAACATATAATATCACAGAGAAACTCGTTTTAATTATGTTTATTTTGAAATGAATTGAATAATGGTTTCAATTTCTTCAGAGGTACAATCGAAACTTTTACTTGTAAAATTATATATAATATAAAATGAAACTGAATACCAATCAAATAATCAGGAAAATTTTTTGAAAGTTTCTATTACTGAATAATCGAATATATTTTGATTGAAAGGTTCATATCTTAACTGGACATTAAAAAAGAATTTGATTATTTACGAATATAGTCAAGGTCATCATCGTCACTGAAAGATATTAATTCTATTCGTGAAATATAATATCATTGAAATAAATCGTAATCATTATGGATTTTTTTTTTAATTTTGCATTCGAACTAGGTCGATTGGGAAGGATACTCATTCAAGACGTGGCATTTCTCTATACAATCGATAAAAAGTGAGTAAAAGTGAATTTGAAATATTAAGTTTAAATGTCGAGCTGGATTCTCTAGCTCATCTTTTTATTGAAAAAATAATTTTATTCTTTTCTCAGCGGAATATGACATTTATCTTACGTTGTAATAGACCCGAAATATTTTTGCTCATCTTAAAAAATCGTGACACTTTCTTAAAGTCAAATACGAATCCGTATTGAAATTCAAATTAAACAAAATAATTTAGAATTTGAGATAATTTTATTCCTAATTATCTCTATAAACTATATTTGAATTTGATCTTCGTTGTTTTGACATGATTGTCTTTCATTAAAAATTTCGGAAACAATTAATATAGTTTTACATAACGCTGTAAGTATTATTTAGTCTTCATTATTGAAATAGTACATACTAATATACAAGTTGTTAGACATTATATATTTATGATTAATTCTGGTCGAAGATTAAATATAGGAAGTATCAGATATTCTTTAATAAAATTAAATTTTCGTATTTATTTGGGTCAACAAATAGTTTTACTATTTGCTTAATGTGGTCCTATAAATCATGAACAACACTTATATTCTTATACATATAATAAGAGTAGCAAACTGACATTATTGATATTATCATGCCAGTTAATAATAGTTTGTAAATTCTTTTCAAGTTAATATTCTGTAAATGAATATATGACTATTTTTAGCTGCTTTAATGATACAAAGAGTCAATTCTTAGAAATTTTGGAAAAAGAATTTTCACGTTGTTTAAATGCAAATTTATTTGCTGTTTATTGAGTATGTTCAATACATGATAAATATTGATTAGTTAGGTATATAAATTATAGCCACACTTCCATCGATGATGAAACATAATCATGGATATATATAATAATCATGCTACGCTCAACAACTATATTCGATTTTGGAAAAGTTTTCTGCTTTATGTACGGCTATATTTGGCCTTGTTTGTTTTATGAAAAGTATTGATCATGAATTGGCTTTCGAAGGTCATGATAGATGTATAGAATAGAACCTGTATCGCATCATCGAGCCATACAGCTATTTCAATTATCTAAAACATGTTTTCATCATTTACACTCAATTATGCAGCAAAGAAAAATAATGGATGTTATTTCGGCTTGTTTTTTTTGCTTATTATGAATTAGTTTTATTTTTAATTTATTTAGATTAATTGAAAATTTAGAGACATACGTGGTGTTTATTATTTAATACCATTTATTAAAAATATTTTACTATCTCGTACATTTCTAATTCTTCTTAATGCATTGGTTAATCCTAAAACACCGATCTACAGTCGGTATGAATCATCTGATAAAAGTACTGCAATATCACTCACTTATCATATTTCTCGAAAACATACTCATATAAGTGCTTGCCATTCAATGATTGCTGAAGTTTTTTTGTTATCTTCTGTTATGATATATTACTATTACTATTTTTGTTATAGATTATTAATAATATTTGCAACTGCTTTAAAAAAAAAACACTTGATTGATATTTTTGTTCAATATTTTCTTTTTGAACTATAAAGGATAGCTTGAAGATTACGATAAACATTTGGCAAAGTTGATTGTCTGATTAAATCAATTATCTAATAAGTATTGAATGAACGATATGAGTTGAAATGTATGATATGTACTATGAACATACGTTATTCAGATTGTTCTTAGATATTTCTTCCGTGTTATTTATTTGTTTGCTTTAAATATTCATGAATTCGTAGGAAAAAGCGATAGCACATTTTGAGATCATAAATTTCTGAGAATAAAAAGTACGACGAGAATTAGAACGTACATGCATTTTTTTTAGTCCTATAACCTATAAATAAGAAAATTTCATCGGAATGCTATGCTTACACAAGAAGCTTATCTTCATTATTCCAGTATTTGTCGTCAGCTAAAGAAATAAAGGTTAGGAGTTAGAAATTTCTTCTTATTTTAATGTATGTATTTGTCGATTTGATAAAAATGAGAAGAAGCAATTTGACATATTTCTGTTTATTTGATTTGTTTTTATATGATGATCAGATTGAATCTCTAATGTATAGGTGCATGTCTATATATGATTTTCTTATTCTTATTATTTGCTATTACTGTATGTCCTGCGTACAACAAGCTATTATTTGTATGTAGAAAAGGAAGTATACTATTTGAGAATTTTATGAATGTATCTTTGTCAAAATCTTTTCTTTGAAGAACAATTAGACATATAATGAACAAATTTAAATAGAATTTATAATGAATTCAGTTATAGTTTCATTCTTGAATGCCGAATTTAGTAAAATTTGATCAGTAACGTTGAAGGACATACTTTGATCGCTTCATCATGACAGATAGTGAAAATACAAGACTCTATTTCGTAGTTGAGTTGAACTCTGAGGAGAACATAAACTTAAAGAAAACCGTCACTCGTCCTGTTTCGATAGATTTCATTCAATTAATTTGATTATCTTCAATGCTGAATATCAAGCTAAATATCATCGAATACTTCACAATCAAACGAGTCTGAAAGATAGCAGCTGACACTCGAGAGCCTTTCTCATATATATACTTATCAATCGTATGGTTATTTGGATTTGTTTGATAATCAAGCAATTGAACAATCGTCAATCCTAAAGAAATCAATGTATATTTATTTGACCAATATTATTATTCACTGATCATGACAAGTTTCACACGAGCTTTAGGAAGACAAAAAAAATATATTTTTGCAGCATATTCTAAAACGATACTATCTTAGTTAGAAAACAATGACATAAAAATACTGGAAGATTTCTGACTAATTATTAGAACTGGCATTTCAAACTGTGTCTAGACATGATTTAGAATTTTGCTTTTATGAAAGCATCAACAACATCATAGATTAAATTCCGACATTTGCTGATTTAATGTTATCTGACATGTATATTGATTTTCTCTTTTCTTTTGGAAAGTGGAAAAAAAGCTTCCGTCGACAATTAACAATGTTAATCATTTCTTATTTTATTATATGACTTTCTTGAAAATGAATATACCTATTAAATTATATCCTTTGCAAATAGTTTCATCTTTCATACAAAAAGAAACACCATGATAAGAGTATCATCCACGGTCGAACTATTATTTATTTTGTGAGAATGATTCATGCAATGTAAAGAAAGCTCGGTATTATTGTCAAACGATAACAACATGATCCACCACATTTGCTCTGACCGTCGAAAATGAAAGAAAAGTAATAAAGAAAATATTCACAAAGTAATCATAAAAACAAGTACTATTTTAAAATGAAGAAAATCCACAAGTTGTCTTGTTCTGTGGACTGTGAACAAAAGTCATTGTAAAAAATAAAAAACTAGGGCGATTATTTGATCGAAAACTAATATTCTCAATAGTGTATATGATACACAGACACAATGCATACATCCAAATTAATAAAAAAATGAAGCAATTTTTGACAACATATAATAAAATCCAAAAACAAATGACTTCATTCAATTGACAGAATATAATATGAAAATAGACTGATTTCCAGCAATGTAAATTCTCATAGATAAAATATATTTGATTGTATCATATGGCTTAGAAAAGTGTGCCGAAGATTATCATCAATTGTCGTTTAGTCCAAAGAGCACAAAACAAATACCGACATTTATAAGAAACATCATTAGGAATATACGATTAAATTAATTATTGCAAAAGAATCATCTATAATTGAAATATATCCACATTCACACATCCTATAACATATATACACTGCCTACATACATACTCAGAATGACCATATACTATATTCATAGTCCGTATCTGTACTAATAGCTTCATGCCTACATCCACACCCATATCCACACCCCACCCACATCCTTTTGATCATGACTGTGTATGCAGCATATATGCTTATCAGAAAATGTAATTAAATGCAAGTCAGTTTGAAAGCATCGACTCATTGTTGAAATTTGCCTTTAGATTACCTGTTACTTTCGAATATCTATGAATAAAAAGAATACAAAATTATTAAAAAAAAAATGAACACACAATTGAATATAGAAGAAAATATTGTGTCTGTTGATATT